ACAATAGGCAAGTTTGAAGTTCTGATTAAAATACTTTGTAGTATGGTGTGTGGGCGGATCAAAGGAGCCGCCAGTGCTATAACTTCAATAAGGCAGCATGGTAGGAAAATATAGCACTGTGTGGAATAATGTAGTACTGCACAGTATAATATGTATGGGCTTTCCTGTTAACCACAAGCTTTGATAGAGGCAAATCACAGCCACAGCTACATACATTAGACATGTAACAATAATAATAGTGATAAAAGAGATCTGATTGCCTTGCACCTGACATGCGCACCTGCGTGACTTTTGAAATTTCATTTGATCCGCCCACGCACCACTACAAACCAATCAAAGCACTGTTGATTTGTAGATTACGGCCTGGGAATTATTGCACTCGGGACGGTCTCGACGAAAATGTAGCATTCAGCTCATAGTATCCATGCTCAGCTTTGCCTCATGCTACATTTTCCTCTCGACCACCCCTCGTGCAATAATTCCCGTAAGCTACTCTCAACAGTGCTTTAATTAATACGTATAGCTGATAATTATGGAGGATAAAATTTGGAAAATTGGAAAATTTATGGTGATTAGTGGGTTTTAATTTATTTGACAGTGGTCGTGCGCCATTTAGTATGGGCATCAAGGTTCAAAATGTTAGGTTTTATTTTTATAAATGGCTGTCAAAATGAAAATGGCAAATTCACCAACATTTCCCCCCTCCAAAATTACCATCTATACGGTACATGTAGCCCTTGAAAAATAATAATAACAAAAACAGAAACTACTTGTACAGTTATCACTTGCTTATAAAAACTATTCTCTATCCATAATAGACAAAAGCTTTTATAAGCAAATGATAATTGTAATATTGGGGTGAGCCTGCTTAGGCTCTCGGAAGAAATCAAGTTTTATTATAGCTCAGTTGTTTGTACATATACAACAGTAGACCTACATAAAATCACACCAGGCTATGTCATGTGAAAGAATAATGTTAATTTCCTTTCCAATTTCCAAAACATGTTCCAGTCTCACTTTACACAAGGTGCCCTTCTCCAGAATAAATGAACATACCCCGGTATCTAGTCTTAATTTTAGAAACTGTTGTTTGAGTTAATATGTACCAAACTAAATGTATGCTTTCATTGTAATACACTATTCTCATTGCCAAAGCTAAGCTGTACCAAAACCAAAGCTAATACTAACATTAATTTTGTGAAAATAAGCAATAATATTAACATATCAAACTGGTCAGGGTATACTATTAAATGGTTAAAAATGAATCTAAACTCTATCAACTATTATTAATACTGGAATGTATCTGACTAATAGTCCATGCATCCAGTATACTTATACATACTACAGTAATAACTCATTCAAAATTTGTCATTACAACTTTGTTTCATTTTTTCAGGCAATGAAGATAAGGTTGAAAGCATTGAAGAAGTAGCTCATCAACCAGATTCAACTGAAAACAAGATTATTGATGTATCAAAAATCGGTAATATTTAATTAATATACAATTCACTGATTAATTGCTTCTCATAACAGACACAAATGCAATGAAAACCTTCAAAGAGCTTCTGCAAAAAGAAAATATTTCAATAGATATCACTTTACTAGTCATTGGAAGAACAGGTCAAGGAAAGTCAGCACTAATCAACAGCCTCATTGAGCTGGAA